AGCCTCAGCAACTTAGCAAGGCCTTAAGCAACTCAGCAAGACCCTGTCTCTAAATAAAATATAAAAACAGGCTGGGGATGTGGCTCAGTGGTTAGGTGTCCCTGGTTCAATCTCCAGTCCCTCCAAACAAAAACTATGAGAGCCAGGTGTGGTGGTGCAGGCCTATAATTTAAGCTATTCAGGAGGGTGGGACAGGAGGATTACAAATTTGAGACCAGCAATGTAATGAGACCTGTGTTAAAATAAAAAGACCTAGGAATGTAGCTCAGTGGTAGAGCACTCCTAAGTTTGATCCCAGCACTTAAGGAAAAATATTTGTATGAAGGGACGGGAAGGTTGGGCATCAAAGTACAACCCTGGTTACTTTGGGGAAAGGATGCAAAACTAGGAATGAAGATGAAAGATGACTTTTATATTTTGCTTTCTAGAATTGATTCTTCTTTGAACCTTTTGTAATAAGAATGTGTTTATATTTCTTGAGTAATTTTTGAAAGATCATTTGGTGCCTTCTATCTATCCAGAAAACAAGTTTAGTTCACAAGAACTAAATTCATAATGATATAGTGAATTTGCATGAATAGCTCTTTGGTATCTGAACTTATCCTGTCCTTCCTCAAGAGCTAAGAAACTAAGATGATTTTTTTTTTGTAACAATCTCCAAATTCATGCTCAGGACAATTAACTGCTTTGATTTCTTTTCTTCTTACTCTCACAATAAGAAAGTTCTCTCCTTCTCTCTTAAAGCAGATCCACTGTCTCCTTTTCATGACTGCTGCATTAACCTGATTGTTTTTCTAAGCTGGGCTACTCCTGGCCCCTGTGTCCACTGGTGACTTAATTCTTCCTCAAGTCTCCAACCTGTAAAATGAGTAAAAGGTCAGTTCTAAGTTACTTAATTAGACAAATTATCCAAACTGATCTGCAATTAATAACAGTTCTTAATTACTGACTTGGTTAATTTACCTTAAGAAGAGGGGAGTCTGGGTTGGGGATATAGCTCAGTTGGGAGAGTGCTTGCCTCACATGCATAAGGCCCTGGGTTCAATTCCCACCACCACCACACATACACACACACACACAAAAAAAAAAAAAGAAAGAAAAAAAGAAGAAATCCTTTAAATTTTACCAGAGTCATGTGCTACATAATGAATAATGACATTTGTTCAACAAACATAGGCTGCATATGAGTGGTCCCATAAGACTGCATTTCATAGTGACCTCATGGCTATCTTTGTTTGGAGGAGTATACTCTATGATGTCCCCATGAAGATGAAATTRCCTAATGACACATTTCTTAGAACTCTTCTTGTCATTAAGTGACACTTGAATGTACATAGCAGCCCCTGCTGGGGCCAAGCAAACTCCACCCCCTCTCCCTCCCCTCCCTCCTCCCTCCCATCCCCCCTCCCCTCCCCCCCTCCGTGCTTCAGTTACCTCTTTCTGATAACTATTTAGTTATCTCTTTCTCAGGCATTGATGGTTCATGTCTGCTCCCATGGCATCAGCTGGGATAACTCTACTCGAGGATGAAGGATTCACTTTCAGATTGGCTCACTTACACAGCTCACTTACATAGTTGGTGCTGACTTAATTGGGTGCTCAGCTGGGGTTGTGGGCCTCTCCACAGGGTGCCTGGCTTCCTGATTGTAGACCTAATCTCAAAAGTTACAAGGTCAACTCTACTGCTGGAGGCAGTCTCAAGACCTGCTGAGGTTCAAGAGGTGGSGATATAGACTCTACCTTTTAGTTGGGAGTTGGGTGAGAGTAGTTTAGGGGAGGAGTGGCAAGATTCTAAGAGAGCATATAGGCTATCTATTTGCCACACTCCATTTTTTTTTTTTTTTTTAGAGAGAGAAATTTTTTTTTTTAATATTTATTTTTTAGTTTTCGGCGGACACAACATCTTTGATCGAACCTGGGCCGCACGCGTGCCAGGCGAGAGAGCCACCGCCTGAGCCACATCCCCAGYCCTGCCACACTCCATTTTGAGAAATAGCATAGTCAGTGTTGGTTATGAAATCAGAAGTGAAATATTTAAATATTTTGAACAAAGACGCCTGGTCCTCCATATTCMCGTGTTCTGAGTCTGCTCATTCAACCAACCTTAGAGTAAAAATCATTTGAAAAAAATTGCACCTGTACTGGATATATACCAACATTTTTTCCTTGCCACTATTATCTAGCAAGTGCAGTATAACAACTATTTACATATTTACATTGTATTAAGCATGATAATAATCCATAGATAACTTAACGTATATGGGAGGGATGGGTGTAGGATATGTGCAAACACTATGCCATTTTATGTAAGGGACTTTCAGCATCCCAGGACTTTGGTATGAGGACCATTGGAATCCATCCTCCTTGGATGCTCAGGGATGGTTGTACTTTTTCAGTAACTCAGCAAATGCAAAGAATGAGAAATTTATCTTTTTAGACCTAGCTCAATCAGATCAACTACAGTTTAGTGGTAAATTAATTTTTCAAAACTCAAAAACACCTTCAAATGTAAATGCAAAAATAATAATTAAAAAATAATAATCAAGAAACTCTTCAAAAAACCCAAACCCAATTCAATGTCAAATTAGGTATTATTTATTACCTATKTTGACATTTTGACTTATTGGAATGTCCCTCTTATAAGAGAGGGAAATAGTTAATTATATCCCACTGTTATATTTATTTATTAAATGATKCAAAGCAAAAGTTTACTGGGATWTTGAGTAAAATAAGATATCATTATTATAATCATTATAAAATAACTGTCAACTATTAAGGTCACTTGGTTGCACTCCTTATAATTTTGATAGGARGAAAAAACCCAGTTGAAATGGCATTTTCTATTTTTAGTAAATTAAATTTTGGTAAAACCCCATTGTCAATGATTTAAATGTACTCTATTCAGAAGCTTTATCTTAAAAAAAATCAAGTTAAAAATTCACTTGAGCCAAGCATGGTGGCGCATTCCTGAAATCCTAATAGYTCTAGAGGCTGAGGCAGGAGGATCCTGAGTTCAAGGTCAGTCTCAGCAATTTAATGAGGCCCTAAAAAACTCAAGGGGACCCTGTCACTAAAAAGATATAAAAAAGGGCTGGAGATGTGGTTCTGTGGGTAAACTCTTCCAGGTTCATTTCCAGGTACCAAAAAAAAAAAAATCATTTGGGATGTTTTCTGAAGTTTGTTAGTGAATCAATTTTCGTGGTAAGAAAAATAATAGCATAGGAACAAATATGGAAGGAGAATTGTTGTGAATCTCATGAGAATATTGTAAAAATTGCCAACAGGTACCTGAAGACCTTCTGAAAAAGGGCCATATAGTTAGGTGAGGCAGAGCATGCCTATAATCCCAGCGACTCAGGAAGCTAAGGCAGSAGAATCTCAAATTCAAGGCCAGCCTCAGCAACTTAGTGAGACCCTCTCTCTCTCTTAAAAAAAAAAAAAAGGGCCTGGGGAATGTGATTTAGTAGTTAAGCACCCCTGGGTTCAATCCTGGGATCAAAATAAATAAATAGATAGGGGATATATAAATGCAAAATAAGAAGATACTTTCATCTTTTACAGTTGGATAGGAGCCAGATATGATGGCACACACCTGTAATCCTAGCCACTCAGGAGTCTGAGTCAGGAGGATTGCAAGTTCAAGGCCAGTCTCAACAACTAACTCTATCTCAAAATGAAAAAATAAAAAAGGACTAGGGATGTAGCTTGTCAGGTCAGTGACTTAGGACAAAGCAGCCCATTGGGGAAGAAATGTCAATAAGGCACCAATGGAAACACCTGTCAATCAGTGGGATCTCCTGGCCAATCCTGGATTTCAGTCAGTTCCCTGACCAACTCCTGTGGGACAAGGGACTCTAAAAACACCTTTTCCTGTCCRAAGACCTTCCCTTCCTGCTGTAAGCCCCATAAAGTTCCAGGTTGGTCAAGCTCCCATGCGGTTTCTCCTCAGATCCTTCTCCAGTCCACTCTGTGGGTCTGAAGGAATTCCACCCTGGAGGGAGTCTTGGGAGGGAGTCTCAAATAAAGCGGTCTTTTAAAATCTGCCTCTTTTAGTCGCTGCCCTCCTTGCCTGATCTCACATAGCTCAGTGGTAGAAAGTCCCTGTACCATCTGCTTCCTGATGTGAGCTGCTTCCCTCTGCCACACTCTCCCACCATAATGCTCTACGTCACCTTGTGCCCTGAGGAATGGAGCCAGCCTTCTAAGTACTGAGGCCTCTGAAACCATGAGCCTACAAATAAACTTTTTCTCCTCTAAAAAAAAAAAAAAGAAAAGAAAAAAAAAGAAAGTCCCTGTACCACATAATTTTTTTAAATACTTATTTTTTAGTTGTAGTTGGACACAATACTTTTTTTTCACTCATTTATTTTTACGTGGTACTGAGGATCGAACCCAGGGTCCCGCTCATGCGAGGCGAGCGCTCTAACTCTGAGCCACAACCCCAGTCCAAAATTTATTATTATTATTTTAATTTAAGTTGGGTAGGTGATGGGAAAAGACCCTAAAGTTACCATCTCAGGGACACACCTTGAGAAGAGCTCTTCTGCCTGTGGCAGGTGAAACTTGGAAGAGGAAAGGAACCACACAAAGAGGGGCAGAGCAGAAAACTAGTGAGGAAATTCCTGTCAGCTAAGGACCGTGGCCATGGGCAATTGGCAGAGAGTCATTCTTCCCTGACATCAAACATTTATAGAAATGAAGCTAAATAAAGTATGATAATAGCTGGACAGAGATGTTTGGATTGGGGCAAAGAAAGCAAAGCAGCTGTAAATGAACAAATGGATTAAATTTGTGAATGAAGGAAAAAGAGGAACCAACATCCCACAGAATCGGCAACTCTCCAAATCAGGAGATAGGAAGCAGACTTAGCCCTTCAGCAGTGAGAGTGGGGACAAAGGAAAATGACTCCTAGTGGATATGCATTTTGGGGACACAAAATGACAAAAATGTTCTAAAAAGGTAGTAATGCTGAGCCCTGTTTCACTGCCTGGCACTGCTAGGATTCAGAACTCCCTGCCGATTGTCCAGCTCTGTGGGTGGATGAGAGGAAGGGTCTGCTACAGCTGTGCTGTAAGAAGCTGCAGATGTACTCTTTGCCCATCCATAGCATCAAGAGGATCTTGGAGAGGTTGGATCTGGACTTTATCCAGCAAGTGCAAGTGCAGTGTTCCTGGAGACTGTCCATTTGGTCTACTTTTGCTACCTATGGGGGCCAGATGAGCAACCTGAGGAAGCTCTTTTTCTCCCACGTCTGTGTGTCTGCCTATGCTTCCCAGGAGGAGAAAGACCAGTTGATAGATGATATTACCTCACAGTTTGCCAAGATGGACAGCCTCCAGAGTCTGTACCTGGATGGGGTCTTCCTCCTAGATGGCCATCTGTGCCAGGTGCTCAGGCTCCTGAAGACCCCCCTGGAGACYCTCTCAATAACCAACTGCAAGCTCTCAGATCCAGACTGGAATGATCTGTCTGGATCTCCAAACCTCCAACAGCTAATACACCTCACATTKTGGGGCAGCAAATTGATGAGTTTCAGTCCTGARCCCCTCATAATTCTGCTAGAGAATGCTGCAGCCACCCTTGAGACCCTAAACTTGCAGGACTTGGGATCACCAACTCCCAGCTCCAGGCCATCCTACCTGTCCTGAGCTGCTGCTCCAAGCTCAGGGTCTTAAGCTTCAATGGGAATGACATCTCCATGTCGGTCCTGAGCAACCTGCTGCTTCACACTTCCAGGCTGACCCGGTTGAGCCTAGAGAGGTACCCTGCCCTTCTAGAGAGCTATGATGCCCAGGGTGCCATCCACCCAGGGAGACTTTTCCAACTCATAAATGAGCTGATGGGGATACTGAGAGATGTGAGAGAGCCAAAGGATGTCTTTTTCCATACTAAACCCTGCCATAGATGTGGCAACCGGTTTATCTATAACCTGCCCTCCAGTCCGTGTCGCTGTTGGCTGCCTGCCTAGTGGGATGCATGTATCAGAAATGTTCTCCTGTGCACTTGAAAATAAAGCAGGTGGCAAACGAGAGCCATAAGACCTCCTTGGATAAACTTGAGTTCTCCGCAGAAGAAGTCCATTACTGCCTGGTGCTGTGGCACACGCCTGTAATCCCAGAAGCTCAGGAGGCTGAGGCAGAAGGATTGCAGGTTCAAAGCCAGTCTCAGGAAAAAGTAAGGCGCAAAGCAACTCAGTGAGACCCTGTCTCTAAATAAAATACAAAATAAGGCTGAATAATAAATAAATAAATAGAATAAAAAGGTAGTAATGCTTGTAAAACTCTATGAATACACTAAAAACTTTAGTTCAATTTAAATAGGTGAATTGTATGGTATATGAATGATACAGTAATAGAATTGACATTTTGGAAAAGTAAATCTAAAATTAAATACCAATAAAAAGTATATACCTGGGCAGATTTTTAAATTATACTGCATAGAAAAACCAAATACATCATCTACATGTTTACCACTATGTCCCTATGTTAATTCTCAAGTCACATAACTCCTTTTGTTAGTTTCTTCTGTATCTTTCTGGGATTTAAAAACTGCATATACAGACATACATAAATATATATTCTTTTGTTCTTCCCCTTCTTTCATAATGGCAGCATATTGTATAAACCTCTCTGATCTTTGGATTTTTCTCTCTACAATACATATTAGAGATTGTTCTGTTTTAGCATAGAGAAAACTTCCTCATTCATTTTCATAGTTCATGGGTTTCCATTGTGTGGATGCCCTACAGTTTAACCAGTTTTCTACTCATGATCTCTTTGGGTTATTTCCAATCTTGTACTCCTATAAACAATGCTATGACAATAACCAAGTATAGAAGTCATTTCATACATTGGTAGATAAATTTACAAGATTAATTCATGAAGAGATTTGCTAGATCAAAAGGTAAATGCAATAATAATTTTAATAGCTGTTATCAAATTGCCCTTCGTGTTGCATTACTTCCACCAGGAACGGATAAAGTTCTGATTTCCTCCTACTTTTGCCATCATGTTGTGGTGCCAAATTTGTTGATGTAATTGAAGAAATGGGGTTATCGGAATAATTTTAATGTTTTTCTTTTATACTTAGTAAAGTCAGGCATTTTTTTGTATTTAAGAGCTACTTGGCTGGGCTCAGTGGTGCATAAATGTAATCCCAGCAACTGGCAAGGCTGAGGCAGGAGAATTGGCAACTTAACAAGACCCTGTCTCAAAATAAAAATTTATAGCTCAGTGGTAGARCACCCCTGGATTCAATTCTTAGTATCAAAAGATAAAAAAAATTAAAAAGTACACACACACACACAAATAACAAAGCAAAAACAAAACAAAATAAAAAACCATGGGCTGTATTTACTTTCCTGTGGACAGTTAATATTCTGTGCCTCAGGCTGGGGCTGTAGCTCAGCGGCAGAGCACTTGCCTAGCATGTGTCAGGCACTGGGTTTGATCCTTAGCACCACATACAAATATAAACTGCTGAGAGCCATTGCCAAGTAGGAATGACNCCTTTCAATCCTTATCATCATTTACCCTGGGGTTAAAATATCTGATCTGGTGGTCCTCATCCTGATCTTTCTGCCTTTCCCTCTGATCCGGGGAGGACAGCCTGCCAGAGACTTCACTTTGAGTTTATCAGGGTGGGGAGAAGTGACTTGTTYGTGYCTATACTGGAGGGCTCCATTAGGCATWCCTGAYGAGACTGCSAGTTTCAAATTGGAGTTTTTAAAATGGAGTTGCTTAGGCTCAGGCCTAAGGCCATCCTCACATAAGTACTCTGAAATGTTTGTTAAAATAAAAGATTGAAAGAGAAAGGAAAATAGCAAGCTTTGTCTTAGTTTTTTACTCTAGCAGAATACCTAAAACTGAACAATTTATAAACAAAAGAGGTTTATTTTGGCTCATGGTTCTGGAAGSGGAGAAATTCAAGACTGGTGACCACATCTGGTGAAACCTCATGTTGCATCATAACATGGCTCGTGATATCACCCTATAAGAGTTGGGAGCTGGTACAGGAAGAAGAGAGGAGGCGTTGAAGGAACCAGATGCTTACGAAAACGCACTCTCCTGAGAACTACATTAATTCTGTAAGAATTAAGCCAGTGTAAGGAGAAAGGCATTACTCTTTCTTAAAGAACCTATCTTCCAAYACCACTATATTAGTAACCCATTTCAACATGAGTTTTGATTGGAACAAACCACTGCAACTTATTAAGAATAAATTCAGTAATATTTAAGACTAACACGTGAAGACATTCATAGGTAATATATTATTGCATATGAGCAAAGATCAACTAACTACTTTAACAAAAMTAAATATTAAATACCATTCTATCTTGGGGCTGGGATTGTAGCTCAGTGGTAGARCRCCTGCCTAGCATRTGTGAGGCAGTGGGTTCAATACTCAGCACCACATATAAATAAATAAAATAAAGGTCCATTGACAACTAAAAGAAATTTTTAAAAATACCATTATATCTCTAACCTCATCTTGTATATGAGGATCGATACCTGAAATAACTATCATGTAAATCTTGAAGTGTTCAGATTTTTTTTTAGTTGTAGATGAACACACAATATCTTATTAATTTATTTTTTATGTGGTGCTGAGGTTCGAACCCGGTGCCTAACTTGTGCAAAGCACGCGCTCTACCACTGAGCTAGAGCCCCAGCCCCAAGTGTTCAGATTTTAATTATGTAATGTAGAAAGGAAAAGAGGTTGAGTCTATTTTTCTACCTGTTGAATGTGGACTCACCTTGGGATCTACTGTGATCAATAGAATAGCACAAGTAATACTATACAGCTTCTGAGTCTTGCAGATTCTTCTCCTTTTGGAAACTACATGTCATGTGAAAAAGACTGGCCAACCTGCTGTAGTCTGGGAGCTAGCCTGTAGCATTGCCAGTCCCCWGTGAGGGAGCTCACTGTTAAACCACACAGTCAAGCTGCAATTTGGCTGAAGCCATATGAATGACTCCACCAGAGACCAGCAGAACCAGCAGGGCCCAATTCATACTGTTGAAACACAGAATAGCAAGCAAATAAAATAATTATTGTATTAAACCACTAATTTGGGGTATAGTTTGTTATATAGCAGTAAATAATTATATGAAATTATTAGAGGGAGCCATGAATAAAGAAAAAGATAACYAAAAAATACAGATAGGTAGGTTACTCTTGTTCTTTAATTTGTTCATTCACATACTTTCCATCTCCATGTGGAGAGAAGTCAGGCCCACTGTGGTGGGAAGACCCTAAGGAGACCCCAAGGATATCCTCYTTCTGCTTTTTATGCATTTGTGTAATGGCCTCCTCTTGAATGTGAGACAGATTTCTCAACTGGTTTCTAAACAACAGAATATGGAAGCAGTGTTGGCTTGTCATCCCCATGGTTGTGTTRGATTATATAAAACTCCATTGTGCTGGCAAATTCACAACAGGAATTCTCCTTGTTGGCATGAGGAAGTAAGATGTGGAAGAYGCCCACATGCAGCTTCCAGAAGCTGCAGGTGGCCTTTGGCCAATAGTCTACCCGACACAGAGGCCCTCAGTTCTACAGCCACGAGGAAATGAATTCTGCCAATAACCTAGCCAGCTTGGGAGCCAGTTGYCTCCCAGTTGAGTCACAGCTGAGAATGCAGCTCAATGGATTTTCCATTGCAACCTGGTGAGTTCCATGTCAGATAACCTGCCCACAGGAAATATATCCTCTGAGACAGGCACGGTGGTGCACACCTATAATCCCAGTGACTTGGGAGCCTGAGGTAAGAGGATCCAAATTTGAGGCCAGCCTCTGCAATTTAGCCTTGGCCCAATTTCAAAAAATAAAAAGGTGGGAAAGTAACTCAGTGGTAGGGTGCCTCTGGGTTCAATCCCCATTTCCAGGTGGGAGTGAGCAGGAAAAAAAGAAATAAATATAACTATGGGGCTGGGAGTATATTTCAGTGATAGGCCCTGGGCTCAATCCCCACTGCTGCAAAAAACAAAACTAAACTAAACTAAACTAAACTAAACTAAACTAAACTAAACTAAACTAAACAAACAAAAACCCAAACCACACTAGGCTTTGTAGAATACTCCTACAGCTTCTCAAGAATTTAATTCTTTGACTTTAAAGCAACCTTTACTCCCAGGAGAAAATAGTGTGGTTTGTGAAGAAGAAGGCATTCTACTTACTTTAGAAAGTTGTGTCTTTCTTGTCACACCTGATTTATTTACAATCTCACAAAAGAGAGCATTTCTTTTCATGGCTGACTCAAAGAACTGATGATAATTCACTCAGAGAATGTGATTTAGGCAAGAAATTAAATTTGTATACCTGTGTAAGGGGCCATTTTCCAAGTAGCAATGAGTAAGCTATTCCATTTCCCCTGGCTGAGAAAAGAAGGGTGTCAAAGGCAGCAAAAGGATGGAGGATTATACTTAAATCCAAAGTAAACTCTAGAGATTCGCCCTGAAGCTTCTGGATGAAAATAGAGACTGTGACTTAGAAGTCAGGAGATGCCTGATCTCCAGGTTGTCACTTTCCATATGCTGCCTTGTGCAGACTAATAGTTAAAGATTTCGTTTAGAAGTTCAGGAGAATTCCTGATCATCATGGTGGAGAGAGACCAAGCTTTATCTGGTAAAAGCAAGAAATCTCACCTCT